CCCCCCCTTAACCCCCTATAACCCCCCAATTCCTCCCCCTAACACCCTCATGCCCTCCCCTTTACCCTTACAACCCCCTATAACCCTCCTGTACCTCCCCTTATTACCCCCACCACCCCCCAAAAAAATTATTGCGGATTTGGGTGCTCTCCTCAAGCCGCACATGACCATGTCATCAGAAAAAATTAAAAAAATTTAGGCAGTCTGCCGACCGCCGACGGGTCCGCCTACGGGTCGGCCCGACTGGTAGGTGCGCCTGTTATGATTCTGGTTGTTTGTTGTCTGAAGGCCAACACTCACTCACATAGACTTCCAAGTATGCCCATACATACACAGAAGGAAGGGGAGAGGATAGAAGTATCATGCCGCACAGGGAGAGATAAACACAGCGGAAGACTTAACCATGCGATATGACAGGGTACACTGAAAGTGCAATTCACTCCACTCAATCATCACAACCAGTCATAAAGGAAAGCCGAGTAGATCACATCCAGGAAACAATGAAACGGTGATAGTCCAAAACCCAGTATCACACTGTTTATTAAACTCAGAGTCTTGAATTGTCAGAATAACTCCAGAACTACAGTGCGCTGCTCAGAGATGAGCAGCGCTTGACTCCCCAACCCTGAGTAACCACTCGTGACACCCCTGAGCCCCTGAAACATCAAGCGCCACCCAGATACAGCCTCCAAAGGGAAGCGCCACCCTGAAACAGGCCTCTGAGGCCAAGCGCCACTCAGAGGGTGAAGAAGAAGACCAGCGCCACAGTATCTGATAATGACGAAGTGTCGGAAGACTTCCCGGATGGAAGTCTGCAGCAGCGCCACCAAATCCTGACAAGATAACCTCTGAGGAAGAAGCTGCAGCTATGGCTGCAGCGCCACAACCCTGTGACCCCACTCCGGAGGAGGGTCCAGCAGGGCACCAACTTCTCTCGCCTCCAGCAGACCTCAATAGCCCAGACCTCTGTGCAGCCCCACGTGCTGACGGAGTACAGGTCAGGTCCCAACTATGGCCGGCGCTCCGAAGGTCTGGCTATGTCTGTCTCCCACAACGCTGAGCCGTCACCACTTCCGGTTCATGCGTAGCGCAGCAGCGATGTACATGGTACCAACTGCCAAAAGCCCCGAACCGATGTGCCAAACCTATCTATAGCTACTCTAGCCTAGACTCGACCTAGACCGGACTGACTGACCGACCGGTACCGATTCTGTTTCGGCCTCTAGGGCCTATCCCAACCCGGCTATAGGCTATAGGACCATATATTAGCATAGGCCCTTAGGGCCTGTCTATTCTATAGGTAGCCCGGGCCTGCGATTCACAGTTAGGGTAGCTGAAGGAAATTCAGTTAGTAGTGGGCCTATATTTTACCCAAATTTACCGATATGTCCCTCACGAATTTTCCTTACATGCAGGTCACTCGGTTAGCCCTCAGCCAAACAAATTTACGAATCTGTCCTATTTATGGTACAGCCTCGACAGAGAGAGGCTACAGGCGACCAGAAACAGCAAGTCATTGCACGCCTACCGCCTACGGTAGGCGTAGGCGGTAGGCGCCAAAACAACCATGCATAGGGATTCATACCCCTTTACGCCCCTTTGAGCCCTTGCGAACCCCTCTTATACCCCAAAGACACCCTTTGGTGCGATGTCACCGAACTCAAAGATAAGGCCGGATCTGAGCACATCTCAGTGGGCGCAAAATTGCCCCACTGCCAAGTAATAAATACAAAAAAAACTGACCCCTTTTTGGTGTCGCACGGGTACCCCAGGTCGGTCACCCCCCACGCAAGTTTGCCCGGCCGGGTGACTCTGGTACTATAGCTATCAACTTGTTTTTGGCATTACGAATTAAGTTCACTTAAATGCTTGTCCTTGCAGTTACCAAGTTCTGAACCTGTTTTTTTGGTACTTACGAATTAAGTCCACCCTAAGTTGTGCCAGACACGGCTGATATGGTTTGCCCTCTCTGAGGTATGCTTGCCAGCTCACTATGGTCCCCTGTCTTGATTTCATTCCAGGCAGAGTTAGGGTGGTACAGTTTGGCAGGACACACGGTTGCGATGTCCAGCTTCTTGATGCGGAACCGATTGATGGTGGGAGAGCTATCAAATGCACATTCAGGAGCTATCTTGCTGTTCCGAAAGGCAGTGTGTCGACCAGGGTTGAAATTAAGGTGTGCATTACTATGGAAAATCCAGTGTGGGGAGAAAAATAAATAAAAAATTCCAGTGTGGATCATGGTGGAATCTTCAGTATTTGGCTTTTCTCTCTACTTTACGGTCCTTGTCTTCCTCCTCCTCCTCCCTCCGTCTCCTCCTCCACTTCCTGTCGTCTGGCCCCCCTCTGCGGCCACCATTATTATAAGTGCTGCTTTCGCTCCTGTTGTCAATGGTTAAGCTGCTGCTGCTGCTGCTACTGCGACGATAATCATCATCAACATCGTCATAATGATTCTGATAATGATGCCAGTGACAACGGAGATGGTGATGACATGATGATGGCAAAATGATGATGATGATGATGATGATGATGATGATGCACTTTGAAAACTTATCACTCAAGGCTTTAGATACAGCACAACATATTCGCAAGGTGCCGCGTTATAAAAAAATGAAAAAATGCTTTGAAGGAATTGTTACAAACGATATTCCAGACTGCTTGGTGATAATGAATGCAAATCAGAATTCCATGGCCATTCTTGAAGCTAGCCAATTACATATACCGATTGTGTGTTTGATAGATTCAGATATTCGATGATGGTGATGATGATGATGATGATGATGATCGTGATGATTATGATGATGGCAATGATGAAGATGAGGACAAGCAGGAGGCGAAGGAGGCGAAGGAGGAAGAGGAAGAGGAGGAGGAGGAGGAGGAGGAGGAGGAGGACGATATGATGATGATGACAGCGTTGACTACAGTGGCAACGGCGACAACAACGATGATGATGTTGATGATCAGTATTATAAGGATGGCCATGTGGCGAGTGATGATGGTGGTCATGTCTACATGTACCACGTTCATCACATTTAACTTGATTTGATTTTATTGCCTTGCCTTGCAGATCAACAGCCCAGGACTTCATCTCGCGGAATGCGCTTGTGCAGCTCTGGCCATAGCTGGAACTCTTAATGTTCCTGCAGATGTGGCGGCTGAGAGCATTTCCAAGTATCAGCCGGTGGGAATGCGCCTCCGCCTTGAGGTCAGTCAGAGCAGTTGTTGTTATTGTTGTTGTTGTTAAGTAGTGGTATTCCACTTGCACCGTAAAGCCCCCAGTTATGCTACACCTCTAAAGTCATGCCTGTTATGATCCTGGCTATGTCGAAGTGCAGATGCACAAGGAAAGACAGTGCCCCCTTGAATGCCGTTCAATTGTAGAAGAAATGGAAGGACTTGGAAAGAGAGAGAGGCAAGGAGAAGAAAGAAGAAAGAAATCAAGAAGAAGAATATTTACACCAGCAAAAGACCAATTACAAATCCCCCTTCTTTCGCCAACTCACTCCATCCTCCTTATCTCCCCCAAATTCCCTCAATCTTATTCTTCTATCTATAAATAATATATAATAACAACGAGTGGCTGAACCAGAACCAATATCCGGATCTCCCTCTTAGAGCCAGCAGTACATAAGGTCCACCATAGTCACGACCTCGTCATCTACAACCACCTCCGGTAGGTGGTGGCTATGGCGGACTGCCCCGATGTTCAAAAGACAATGCAAAAGCAGATATCTCCTCTGCCACACAGGCCGCCATGCCTGACTGTGCCTCAGTGCCTGCAATCAGGTGGCCGTGGCTGCAACCCGCCTGGCCCAGCTGCAGCCGACAGGTGCCGTCCAGGGGCAGTTTTGGAACATGCAGGCCCAGCTAGGTTTCAGCCAGGTGGTGGCATGGCCTGGCTGCGGGCCACAACTGGCTGCAAAATTAGTCGGGTCAGCCGAACAGGCCTGTATATATATAGATAAATAGATAGATTTACATATAATATATTGATAGATAGATAGATTTACATATATATCGTCAAATAGAACTGCCCGGTAAACCATAGGCAGAGAGGGAGAAGAGGACAACAAACGAGGGGCTGTGACAAACTGTTTCGTCGGAGTTTCACCGACTCATCAGGAGGCTGATATGCATGAGGTTAGGGCTGGGGTACGTAGGTCCAACTTTGCCTCCTGACCAATGGCCCCGCGTCGCAGCCCACCCAAGGCTGAATGAAAAACATGAAATGCTGTACGAAAAACATGCATGAGGGGAGGAAAGGAAAGTTGAAGGGCCCTATAGTGTAAGAACGGGTACAGCAAGAGGGAGATATTCATAGTAATAAAGACCTCTTACTAGAAGATGCAACCAGGAAGAGGATTGGAGACAAGCGGCCTAAGAGACTCCTATGAAGCCACCACCCCTGCCCTGCCCTGCCCTGCCCCGCCCC